ACTTCGAGACGGTAGCCTGGTCGGCATCAGTTGCTGCAGAAAAAGCGTTTTCGCTTGCGAGAAGGATGGCAGCAACAGCCACGACGAGGGTGTTGGTTAGGCGCATTGTCGCTTGGTGGTCGGGCTCTTGATAACTGGAAGGAGAAACGCAGAATGAGATTCAAGGTCATCGTGGTCTGGAGACCGTCACAGTGTGATTCGTCAAGTGACGGTAATACATATACTGTACATGTCTATTAACCCGTTGGACGCGGAGAGGTCATTTAAAACGCTTAAACCGTCCCGGACAGCATAAGAAATAATATGTGTTTCAGTATACCATACCGAGTAGAAGAACAAATTTGGACGTTTTTCGCACAGATTGTAGCTAACCTTTCAGGTAATAATTCTCGCAAGGATGCATAAAGTACACACAAATTTAGAGAACGTACTTAAAACCATATGGATTACAAATGTCAAGTGTAAATCTCGAAGATGATTGGCTATCTGAATTTCTTATTGTAAAAAGTACAACATATGTGTGCCGGGTTTTGCGTTGCCGTATTTTATCCGTCGTTGTCTGTAATCCTAATCGTACTACCCAGTGATATTTAAGAGCCTGTTCGCTAGATGGAGACGAAAACCAAAAGTGTGACCGGATTGGTCAAAAGTAGGTAGCACACAACAAGACAACTAGAGATGGCACTGTGAATTCGTCTCCAGCTCTTTGAGGTGGAGAGGGGCGGATCTACCTAGAGATTTACAGGGCCAGGCACAACATGGGAGACGAAGATGCAATTGTCCTCGCTGCGTGCTCCGCCGTGGCACGGCTGTGGCACGGCTGTGGCTTTGTATGCAGACAGTTGTGAACTAGGACCTCCTGCTGGCAAGAAGAACCGTTTTACCGTCACCACTCTGCGCTTCGAGTCGATGCTTCAATCATCAGCCTATTCAAGCTGGTTCGAGACCAATCTGCGCTGTACGAGATCCACCTTCTTCCGTATAGCTAGCTTTCTACAAGAGCATGGGGTCGCTTTTGCACAAGCTAAGGTCAAGAAGCATTCCTACGAAAAGAAGGTGGCAGCGGCGCTGTATTTCCTGGGCTCAGCGGGTGGATATCGCGAGGTGGGAGCTGCAATGGGCATGGCTAGAAGCTACGTCATGGAGATCACTACGGAGGTAGTTCGCGTGCTAAATGCGGTAGCGCCAGCGGTGATTTCTTTTCCGCGCAGTCGGGACGGGTGGACTGCTGTTGAGGACGGCTTTGCATCGCCGTATGGTTATCCAGATGTCGCCGGTGCTATAGATGGCTCTTTGATTGCTATTGAGCGTCCTGAGGACTATGACGGCTTCTACTGCCGCAAGTGCTATCCTGCGCTCAATGTACAGGCTATCGGGAGCCCCGACAGGACCTTTATGAGCGTTGAAGTGCGGCCAGGTTTTTGGTCTGACCGAAAGTGCTGGAAATACAGTAGAATTGGTCGGACCGTACACAGCGTGATCCCCGCTGGTATGCACTTCATCGGTGACGCGGGGTATGCCCAGCTACCTGGCCTCATCGTTCCTTACTGGCGGCGTGAAGAAGGAGTGTTAACTCCACAGCAGAAGCAATTCAACTTCCGGCATTCAAGCACTCGAATGGTGGTGGAGAGCACCTTCGGCCTCTGGAAGGGGCGATTTAGAATGCTTCAAGGGGTCCTCAACCAGGAAACACCTCGCACGGCGGCCGAGTTTGTGGTCGCGACGATGGTGCTGCACAACGTCATGATTTTTTTTCAAGACAGCTCGAAAATTAGGCTGTACATGGCGCAAGACGACGAGGAGGAAGCTGCCGAGGATGAAATTATTCCAAGGCACCTGCGCCAAATTGGTAAGGCTAAGAGAAATGCTATTGCTACTCTTATTTGTCACTAAATAGACGGTGCCATTTACCATGGTGATCACTTGTTGGTTTGACTAAATGCTGATCACTTGTTGCTCACTTGTTGTCGAGATCACTCGTTGTTTTTGTTGGCAGCCAAAATGCCAATCAGGCCTTGCAAGGCCTGCGTTTGTGCCTGCACGGTTTACATGAGCTCCTTCATCGATCTCACCATGTCGGCATTGCTGGTATCAGCGACTCTAGCGACTTTGAACGCCTCAGCAATGTTGTTCAGTCCCGCACCAATTGCTCGCATTCCTTCTGCATAGTACTTCTTCTTCTTCTTCTATTACCAGTATTAGTGGAATATTAGTGGAATGCCTTTCGCGGGCTCTTTTGCCAGTGTAACGCTTCCATCCACTGCTATTTTGCCCGCCCTCGTGATCAGCTACATCAATGTCCTCTTCATGCTGTAGCAGCGGCTCAGCAGTAGAGCTCTGGCTGAGCTCCAGTGCAGTCTCGTCCTCCAGCAGTTCAGTGCTTGTTGCGTCACTAGAGAAAAGCCGTCCGCATCCATGCCTTCTAAGTCCCCCCACACGTCACGCATAGCCTCGTAGCACCCGGGCTCCTTCAGCGGCTTCTCGGTGGCGTTACCGGTAGCCTCCAGAGCAACACGGTACGCGGTGTACTGCTTGTGCATATGCTTCAGCTACAATAGGATTGAAATGAAGTGAACTCGGTTAGCATTAACAAGTTCCTGTCAATAGTTTGTCATCATACACACCTTTGACTTGCACTGCTCTGCATCAACTTCAAGCCCTCCGAGGCGGAATGTTTCGGCAGCAAGCATTTTCCATGCCGCAGTAAGCAGCTTGGGGCTCCTCGTTCCCTGAAACCAACCTCTCATGGTATCGTAGCGAAGCCGCAACAGCACTTCGGCCGCTCTCGGTGTCCAGGCAAACGACGGCTTGACGTTAGAAGCTCCTTTCAGTGGAGATTATTCGCAAGTGCACACTCCCCGATGGCTGGATGGCGATCGACGTGCTGAGAGGGCCAATGGTGCACGCGTTCTACGTGACGGTGCTGATCACGCACTTTGCGATCACCGATGAAGTGTTCATGAATAAAATCGAGGAGCTGCAGAACGGAAGTCGCAGTGGAGACAACGCGCTGAGGTCTTTGATCGCGTCCTTCAACTACATCGCACGGTTGTCGGTACTGTCACGGATCTTGGCTTCAGCCGCGGTGTTCATCCAGGGACTGCGTGTTCTCAACACGTTCTGCAACCACAATGGCCTGAGCGTGCTCAGTCGGTCGATAACCAAGGCGATCTGCTGGTGCGGGACTTTCGCCGTGACGTTCTTCGTGATCTTCATGGCGTTCGCCGTATCTGGCGCCATACTGTTCGGCAATCGAGTGCACGAATTCTCG